CCCCACCTCCTCCACCACTAGGACCACCACCTCCTCCTCCCCCTCCGCCCCCACCTCCGCCACCTCCACAACAACCACCGAGGTTCTTCTGGTACCACGAGTCACCAATAATGCCAGCCTTCCCACGTCACGCGCCAATACAATGGCAGGCATTCATTCAACCTCAACAGACGAACGAAAGACATATACAGAACGAAGCTCAGAATCCAGAGTCCGATTTAGGATTTAATCAAGGTCAATTTGGAAACAATGAAGAACCGCCTTGCGAGAAATGCGCCAAGAAGAACACGGCAGTCAGTAATGCACAGAGTGAAACTGGCGATGCGGTCGCTATCGCCATTTCCAAAGGCAGTAATCAATAAAATCGCAATCCAGTGTACAAAATAAAGAATAAAATTTAAGTTCCTTCTACTAGATATGAGATATTGCTATATGATTTGGATTTAGTGGGCTGTTACAGTTTCTTATATAATTTTTTTTTTAAATAAATTATTTGGTTTTATTCTGTAACTTTCTCTGTAAATAAAAAAAAACTTTTATTATTATTATTATTTTATTAATGTGTTTAGATATCACATGTTCCGATATCAGATAACATAAAAATTTATGAAAATGAAGTCAATAATAACAACGAAATAAAATGAAAATGAATATTCATTGTCATTGACATTATTTTTACGTTATTTTTATTTTCTTATTAAGAAATTTATAATTATTTATATTTGAATTTAAAATTGGAACAGAAATTAACGGTTTTTAATTAGACTAATTAAATTAGACTAGTTAAATTAACAGTAAAACTTATTTTTATTTTAAATATACACTGTAAATATTATGAACATATATATGTTACCTTTACACGTCACAATTTTGACGCAAATGTTTGCCGCTTTAATGAACAAAATTCCCGAATTCGGGAAAATGTTGTCAATAAATTAAAAGCAAAATAAACTAAGTCATTCGTTGAAATTTTTATTACTGTTATTTTATTATTATATTTATAGAAAATTTATTTTATTGTTGTTGTAAAATTATTAATTAGTTTTTAAAAAATATCACATCACATTTTTTAACTTTAATAAAAAAAAATAATATCAATGTTGTATTGTAAATGACAACACTAGGGAAATTTACCACAAAAAGGCCTTCAAAGGCGTTCTAACATATCTCAGTTTTGTACTTCGAACTTTCCGTCTTGAAGTTCATTTAGGCATAAGCCGGAATTGTACGAATAGTTCGAACTGTCCAGCGATGACGTCACTAGCGCTATAGCGCTCTCATATATTCTCATACGCTTGTCTCGCTCAGAAGTGATTGCTGAGCGTAGTTCCTACAATTCCGACTTTTGTCTAAATTAACCTTAAGCCTAAAGTTATGAACAAGTTTTCTAAAGCATAGATTAAAAATTGATTTCACTGTTTATTCCAAATAGTGTCATACCGTTACAACCTCTCTTGACATTATGACCTTTTTATCATCAAGAGTATGCGAAATTTTTAAAATCATTCTTTATCTATACTTTAGTGTTTGTTATTAACCAATTAGCGTCTAACCGATAAATAAAGTAATCGCAAAATATGTTTTAGTAAGCCGTTAGGTTAGGATTCCATCGGAGATAAATTATTAAAATAAAATAGCTGTAAATTTTAGATTAATCTTCATATTATTATCGCTGAATTTATTATAATAATA